CTATATGAGTGTATTTCCCGGTATAGACACACCGAGGGAGACAACAAAACAGAGATCAACCCAGAGATCGACACACGGAGAGAGACACACCGAGAGAGACACACCGGGCGGCTTTGTGGAGGGCGGCACTGACCACGTGGGGGGGGGGGGGGGTGCACTCGCACGAACTTCGCACGCGTCCAGACAGCACCGCCGGGGATGTGTGGAGGCCACAGTCACAATCCCAGAGGTTGTTGTAGAGCTGCAAGTCGCTGAGTTGGACGAGGTTATCAAAAGTGCCGTCAGGAACGCTCCCACTGACACCCGCAGACGACGGCATCCTCAGAGACAAATAAACCCACTGGCGTCCTCAGAGACAAATAAACCCACAAGGGAAGGAAGATAATCATTGGCGTGATTGTGGCCAATATGAGAGACAAAACACATCGACAATGCACCTCCTTCCACACATTTGTTTCGCCTCGTGAAAAAAAATATCTCGAAGTATTTTTACACATCCCATCGTCCACACGGCCTTGAAATGATTTCGTGTCACGTATTATATAATTTGGCGTCAAACTCGGAAACATATCGAAGAGAACGGGGCCTTGGCTAGAAGCATCTGGCAGTTGAACACGTAGGCTTTTGCAATCAATATTATTCATAATCAAGGTGTTTTTTGGGTTAAATCGAGTAAATACAAATGTATCGTGAACCCACCACCACCTGACACAGCCAATTAGTAAGATTTGTCACGTTAACAAAACGTCGAAATTATTTACTACTTCAGCACATCGGTGTGTTGGATATGAAATCCACAACATTTACAATATTTTGTAGTGATGGCGGGTTTAACAACACATTTATATTCATTAGCATAATATTTTCATAAAGTGTGAATCATTAAATAAAAAGTACACTTTGGTTACTGGAATTGATTAATTATCGACGGCATAGCGTGCACGTATAAGGGGTGAGGTTGTAGGCAGAAGCTCGGTGCCGCTGCAGAGTGTGAGGTCAGGCAGTGGAACGCGACGGGAGGGGAGATGAGTGAAGCTGTTCACTTTCAAGTCGAGGATCGCGGTGTCCCTGGGAATCGCAGGTGGAACGGAATTCAGGTTCTTGCTTTGGCAGACGGGGATTGCCGTGCCTGGCCGTCATTGTCGGAACACCACCATCATCATAATCACGAATGTCACCAGCAGCAGCAACAGCAGCAACATCATCATGGATATCAGCAAAATCATCATCGTCGATCGCCATCAACGGCGTGATAATCATCACAATCCTCACTGTTGTGCTCAACGCCATCGCCAGCGTCGTCAAAGCTTTCATCGTCCCCCATGCTTAGGGGAGCAATGGAAGAGGGGGGACATTCTTTTTCATCTGTAGTGCCACAGAATGGGTCACGTAGCAGCAAAGCGCTACCTGCTGGCAGGGAAGGGGATCTGCAGCTACAGCAGCCCTGACTGACAGCAGGTCACGTGATAGACCAGAGAGACGGAAGGGGCACATCGAGAACCCACGAGTTGGTTCTAGAAGGAAGCGTGGCCATGGGCGGAACCAGGCCACGTGACGGTATAAGAGGGCCCCGGGAGGGGACCTCGGGGCTGTCGTGTGGAGTGGGGAGGGGGGTCCCCATCGTGCTGCCGGAGTCTTCACCGTCTCGACGTCGCCAGTCAGGCAGTCTGCCAGCTGTCCTGACTGGGAGCCGTAGTTACCCAGTGTGAACTGTGTTAATAAACAGGGTGCCTCGTACTCTTAGTGTCTCTGAGTCAGTCACAAATACAAACGAACTGCTTCCTTGTGATTGGCCAGCGACGGATGCGCGGGAGCCTTGAACGGACCAATGAGATGCCGGTAAATTTATATCACTCGGCCCAGTGCCCCGATTTGTAACAAAATAATGATGGAATCAAATTCCCCTTCTTTTAGTTGATTCTATTGGAATCGATTAAAATGAAAAAGTACGAACTATATAAATGAACCATGTACATTTACGTTTTTATAACAATACACTACTTTCTTTTTGGATGTATTTGTGAAAGCATATTTTAAGAGCAGTCGCCACTGATCGGGAGACTCGGCCACGTGGCTGTGACAGCAGCACGAACCGGGCAGCAGAGCGACGCGAGCAAGTTACGGCGTCTGGAGCAGCAGTCTCAGACATTTTCACCTTTTGCGAATTCGCTTCAATCCACTGACTGAGATACAGGATCTCGCACGCGCTGCAGTTCCACTGGTTTGTGTACAAAAATTGTGGACTGTCAGTCACTTCTGAATTCGTAAGCGTGTTATTGAGTAACGCGACTACATTTGTCATTTAATTTCAAGGAAGACCCAAAACACAAAGTGGTGCTGATTTTATTTCGCTACCAAAGCAATGCCAATGACCAAATCACCCGTGCTTGGCTCAATCTCGTCAAATCTCGGAAGCTAAGCAGTATCAGCCTGTATAGTTTTTACATGAGTGACCACTGCGCTTCTTAGCAGGCTGTTATAAGCTGCGGGGCTACGTGGGGTGCAGTAGCAAGGGTGTCGTGAATCTGTTGCTGTATCATGCTTAGGTCGCTGTGTCTGAGTTCCTCCCGCCGTTACGATCGTGCTCTCAGCAGCCTGGAGGCGACAGGCAGGAGCGATGCAGCCCCCTGTGGACTGTGGGCTCAGGCTGCGCGAACGCGCTTGGAGGGGAGTTGCGTGAAGCTGTTTAATTTCAGGTCTAGCTTCGTGGTGTCCGTGGGAATCCCAGGTGGAACGGAATTCACGTGCATCTGGTGTATTGATTCGTTCAACGATCATTATCGATGTCAGCATCATCGCTAACACCACCATGAGCATGATATGACAGTCATTCTAGAATCTATTTGTGCATATGGCAGCGGTCTATTCTGGAGCGAGCTGCCAATGTGGGAGTCTGGGAGCCACGACGAGGTGGTGTCAGCAGAGACCTCGTGTCGTTTGTCTTTATAACGCCCAACGTAACGTTAAATAGGAATTAACTACGGGACATATGATAATAACTTAAATAAGGCGGCAAGGCAGGGCTCAAATTAATTACCGAGTGGTCAAAACAAGAGGCACGTATTTATTTATTTTATTCATTTTTATTTCATTTACTTTTTTTACCGAAAGAACCAAGTTTGAGAGCCAGAGACAAAAGATTGGTTGCTTGGGGGGAGACTCAACTGGGAAACAGGCGAGAGGCTCGTCGCATGAACTGTGTGTGAGTGTCACAGCTCGCCACATGAACTGTGTGTGAGTGTCACAGCTCGCCACATGAACTGTGTGTGAGTGTCACAGCTCACCGCATGAACTGTGACATTGTCGAAACGAATGGAACAACAGCTGAGGCACAGAGACTCCCGTGCGAGAGTCGAGGCGAGAAAGAGAGAGAGGAAAAAGCACGTGGGTCGGAGTAGATTTATTCGCCGTTTCACGAAGCCATACTTCAAAAACTATTATTGTTTTTATTCTTGTTTACCAGGTAAGAAGGAAAACCGAGCTATGAGCTCTTTTTCAGAAACGACCTGGCACAAATGATCGCCCAATTTAGTGGCTTATGTTGACATTCATAGCAACCAAATACTCTAAACGCGTGTTTCTAAATGTGAAAGGAAAACCCGGAAGACCCAGAAACAAATCCAGGCGACCACGGGGAGAAAACTCCAAATATAGAGCAGACGTCAGGGCCAGGAGCGAGCCCACGGCCTGCTGTATACCAGGCGAGGTGATGAACATCTCATGAATGGAAGTAAGTGAATGGAAATAAGTGAATGAAAGTAAGTGAATGAACATCTCGTGAATGACAGTAAGTGAATGAAAGTAAGTGAATGAACATCTCGTGAATGACAGTACGTGAATGAAAGTAAGTGAATGAACATCTCGTGAATGACAGTAAGTGAATGAACATCTCGTGAATGACAGTAAGTGAATGAACATCTCGTGAATGACAGTAAGTGAATGAAAGTAAGTGAATGAACATCTCGTGAATGACAGTAAGTGAATGAACATCTCGTGAATGACAGTAAGTGAATGACAGTAAGTGAATGAACATCTCGTGAATGACAGTAAGTGAATGAACATCTCGTGAATGAACATCTCGTGAATGGAAGTAAGTGAGCTTGAGCAGGACGGCCGCATCGCAACAAGGGACGGCGGCCGGTGGTCGAGACTAGAGACGGAGTGGCAGCCAGAGGACGGAACGCGCCCGAGAGCACGTCCACCACCGAGACGGAGCCGTGAAATCAGATCGCGTGGGGAAGGGAGCGGAGTGGGGGGTGAGGAGCTGGATGGATTGATGGCATCTTGTGGAGGCCTGAATCCAGCAGTGACTAGAGCGCGGCTGATTGTGACGATGATGATCACACGAGAACGACATCAGACTCGTCGTGTTGGTGGGCAGCCTGAACCACTGCCTCTACGTCCCGTCTCGTGTCGTCTTCCCACCTCCGACTAGCATGACTGGCTACGTACGGTGCGAAAGAAGTCCAATGTACACACATCTTGTTCCATTCATGCAAAGGAACATTTGCATATACTTGCATAGATCTTGAATAATCAACCTACACCCTTGCACGTGCGTAACTCTAAAGGGTTTATCTGTCAATTGCATACGGCACGGGAGGAACGCCGTGCAGCTGACGGTGCGTCGCTCCAGACCGCGGGCTCCGCAGGCAGTGGAACGCGACGGGAGGGGAGTCGAGCGAGGCTGTTGTATCCCAGGTGGAGCGTTTTCGTGTCCGCGGGAATCCCAGATGGAACGGATGTCAAGTCCTTGCTTTGGCAGATGCGGATTGGCGCGCTGAGATATCACATTCATCATCATCACCATCCTCATCGTTTTCATCACACAGCATCAACATCATCATCATCATCATAAATTTCAGCAGCAGTAGCAACAGTTGTAGCAGCAGCAGCATCGTTAGAAACTTGCAATATATAAATATCATAATTACCAGTAAGATAATGTGAGCATCATCAAGTCAATATCAGTAGAATTATTGTAATGATCGTCGTCACGAATGTCAAAATCATCAAAAGCACTCAACTTCGTCCATAGCGCCACCATCGTGCTCATCAACCTGCGCACGCTAATCAAGCTGCGCACGCTAATCAAGCTGCGCACGCTAATCAAGCCGCATTGTGGCCCTAATCGCTATCGGAACGGTAACTCGCCGTGGCATCCTTCGTCTGTCATTGGCAAGGTGACATTTGAAAGATTCTGTGTTGATACCTCGAGGTTGTGAAGCCGTCTCAGAGCCTCAGTGACGTCTTGGTGGTGCATGGGGCAGTGCTAGACCACGTGATGCGTAGGGGGCCTCTGGTGGCCGCAGCAGTCGCAATGCGGACCCATCATCTTCCCCATTCCCCGTTCTGATCAAAAGTGACAGTGGCCTTTACACCAAATACAAAGATCCCCCGTATCGCCTCCACAGACTGTCGGGGCGAGTGCTATCAGCGAGTCGCACCGATGAAGGCCGACACGGCGCACACGATGTGGTGGGTGGCCAGCACCACGCCCTTTGTCTCTCGGTCCAGGTGATCGTCACCGGTGTTGACCGCGAGCGGGAATGAAACTCGGGTGGCCACACGACCGCTCCCCACACCGCGCCGCCACTACGGAACACAGAAACACGTGCAGCGCGTTACGGCGTCTGGAGCAACAGTCTCAAGCCGCTTCACCTTTTGCGAATTCGCCTCGATCCACCGACTCAGATACAGGATTTCACACGCGCTGCAGTTCCACGCGCGATTACCTGGAACAATTCCGAATGTTCGCACTCGAAGCCTGTTATGGCTTTGAGCGCAGTGCGCGAATCACTGCGCCATCGCTCTACTCGAAATTGTATCAAAGAAAGTCACAAATCAAAAGCCAAGGATTCTCTTATCTCGTAAATACAAACCTCCGCGTCCAACACGAGCATGCATCTTCTGTGATTGTGAATATACGATCGATGTTGCATTGGTAAGCACAACCCTTTTGCAAATCCACTGCTGGATGATTTCCTCTCCACGGCGAGCACGTCCGTGGGGTTTTTTGACCATACTTCACCACGCTGGTCAATCCGGGTTGGCGAAGAGCAGGGGCGGTTTCTTCATTAGGGCGATTGGGCGACGCACCACCAATGTCATTCAACCACAGAGTCACGCTAGCCGTCACTGTGCCTCTGGATATAGTCCAATCAGCGTCATGTCACGTTCTGTGGAGTACCGCCTCTTTTTGGGCGATTTCACTCCGGCTGAGAATCGCCCAGAGTGTTCCCATAGACTTACATTCAAAGATGTTTTTTTTCGAACGGCGGGCGCTCCAATGCATTCTCTATGGCTTCCGGGAGGGCTCGCACTAACGTGCTTACGTCATCATATGTAAGCACGTTTCATCCAACAATATATTTGTCGCCACCTAGTGGAATCTTTAATAAAAGAAACTTGAGTGGATTGTATTAATAGTGAGTATAGAAACAAACAAGATGTATTGTAAGAGTCACTTTATTTTTCATTAATATTAAAGAAGTGAAGTTGCCTTTACATGCTTAAGCTGTTAATTTATCCATTGCATGGGTGGACCTTATCCTTATCAATCATCCAGAATTTGCCCCCCCTGAGAGATTTTGCAGGAGCCGCCACTGGTGAAGAGCACATGACGCTGGAACATAGAAGTACAATACAATAGATGTCCCCATGCACAGCCCCTCTGCTGTCCACCAACGTAGCTTCCCAGCCGAGAGCTACCTGCTGTGCGCATGGCGGTCGCCCATCAAAGCACTCCGCCAGGCTCAGCGCCTGCTTAGCGCCGAGTCTGGCGAGATCGGGGCGCATTCCGAGTGACGTCACATGCCGTGAAGGTTACATTTGCGTACAATTTGCATATAACGTGCAATCATAAGAGTAAATAAATAATCAATCATTCTACTTAGGGACCGTCCATAAATGACGTCACGCGATTTTGGACAATTTTTACCCCCCCCCCCTCGCACACGGCGGTCGTCACAAAAAGTCAGACCCCTCCTCACATATGACGTCACAAAGCTCTGCCTCCCCCCCCCCAAAAAACAGTGCTCAAATCGCTTTAAACTATTGTCATTGTAGTGCGTATTTAATGTGGAGCTGCACTCTGATGTTGTAGGAGAAAACATTTGTTAAAAAGTCTATTTAATTAAGTAGAACGTGTTGTCTAGATTTATTGAAAGTTTCTCATTTTTGATGTGACGTCAAGTTTTCTCACCCCCCCCCCCCCCCCCAATCGTCACACATCGTCACAAATGTCTGACCTACCCCCAGGTGCATGACGTCATTTATGGACGCCCCCTTATATCTATTTTCTCAAGTAAAACGATATCATTACACAATTTAATTAAATCTCGGCCAAACGCATGTCGCGAAGTGTAAGAGAACCCACGTGGACGCTTCGATACCGAAAGAAGCTTTTCTTCAGATCACAAACACGCATCAAGTCAGGCGCGATGTTAGTGAACCGCGCCCTGCCTACGCGTCTCGTGTGCGATGTCTGTGTTGGTTTCAGATCGTTGGAGGCGCTCTGCGTGCCGATGTGAAGGCAGCAGCAGCAGCAGGGCGAGCTGCTCCGTGCCGCTACAGGCCGCGGGCTCAGGCGATGGAACGCGACTGGAGGGGAGTCGAGTGAAACTGTTGTAGGTGAAGTCGAGCTTCGTGGTGTCCGTGGGAATCCCAGGTGGAACGGAAGTGACGTCCTTGCTCTGGCAGACTGGGGCTGATGTCGTTTGCGGTCACTGTCGGCATCATCATCGTCACCCTTGCTGACACGCCCCCTACCGGGCAACGTAAAGAAGAGCTTCATAGCTCATCGGATCCTCGAGCATAAATACGGATTCTGATTAAATCAGCATCACAATTCCCTTGTAGATTCCCTCAAAGCCTCACCATCTGCTCTAACTGCCCACGCCATTCCTACATCCCCTCCCTGCCACTCCTTACCCGTCCCTGCCTCTACCCTGCACGGGACCCGAACAGTGCCCTCCATCGCTGTCACCATCAACTGTTCACATCCTTGCAGCAGGGCCCCCGTGCCATCTACAAGTACAATTCCACCCGGTGATCGTGGTGTAATGCATGTCAGGCGCCTTGAGTGAGGCGCTCTATGAATGTAAATTCCAATAGGAGCGAGGACGCAGCTGCGCTTGGCCCGGCGACTGGAAAAGTGCTAGCTGACAATTGGCCGGCAACCTGTGGTTTCCTCCCGGAGGAATCGCAACCCCACCACTAAGACCTGAAATGGTGCTCTGGATTACCCGTTCCGCATCAAGAGGTCTTCATCATTGACGGCATAGTCCCTGGGGAGGACTCGTAGATGAGGCTTATGAGCGAAAACATCTGCGCTATGCCGAGTCTAGCTGCCGAAGCACGGCATCTTGGCTGGAACACAGAAGCCGACCATTGAGGTGGGCTGCAGAGGTTTTGTGGCAACATCTACAACCAGACTGCTTAGAGACCTGGGAATTAAGGGCCAGAACCAGCGTTCGGCAATCAAGCTGTATCGGAGGCGGCAGAAGGCAGCAGTCAGTGGCTCTGGATGAAGAGAAAAGCCCCAGCTGGGCCCCAAAGTGAGAGGGGCAGGAGGTATGCAGTCAACAATGCTTGACTCAGGGAGGAGGACGCCCCTGCCATGCATAGTCCCATGGGATGTTGGCTACCAACAACAAGGCAACTCCTATGACTAATTGGGAATGGGACGCAACGTAGGATTGATCACCCTGTCGCTGGCCGCCTTTGGGGAGGGTGTATAGTATGAAAGGCCGAAA